TGTGCGTGTAGAGCGTGTTAAGCTCCTCTGGAAGAGTTAGCTGTGCATTGAACAATTGCAGCGATTTCCTTTACCTTCAATTTACTGTATTTGTGTATAATTATCAGCCACAGAAAGGCCATGGTCGGGGAGAGCGGGGGAGTTATCTCTCTTTTTTTTTTTTTTTTTTTCCTTCTTTCTTTCCTTAGTGGATGAGTGAAAATAATTTGTCTTTTCTTTCTTACCTTCTTTCTTACCCTCTTTCTTCCCTATTATCGTTGCGTTCACAAAGAGGGCAGATGATCGTTTGAGCTTGGAAGAAAAATACTCGGTAGTGCCGAAGCGCTGAATTTATGATTTTCACATTCATTAGATATGTACATTTTAATAGAAGTGTTACTATTCCAGACATTATGTGTGTCTGCCTTTGCTAGGATATTCATAATAAAACCCAAAGAAACTCAAGCGAGTTTACTCATACACCTAATTAAAAAAAGTAAAAGGAATTACCCTGTCAAGTAGAAAAAAAACAACACCTAAACTCAAAAAACACTGAAGTGTCTTCTTTGTGTAAAGTGGAAGGACATCACAGCTTATTTTTACCCAGTGTTTCCTTGTATCTTGATATCCATGAATAACTGCCAGACTTACATTTTTTACCTCTTCAATAGTTATTTGTGCTGACATCAGATTAGCTTGGCATTACTATTTCAAAATTAGATGTCATTGATTCTTAAAATATCTTAGAACAATGTAGAAAGATGGTGTGATTTTAATAACTTAAAAATTAATACGTCAGGAGAGAGTGTTTTATTAAGTATCTGTTAATAAGGAAAGTGCCTACTAATACATAAGTAGGGGTGTTTAAATTGTTTTATACATACATATTTTTATATCTGTATATATATAACAAACAGTATGAAGAACCCTTATGATGCTGACACAGCATTTAAATTGCTTTAATGCAATGATTAAATTCCACATTTCAACTTTTTTTTTTAGCTAATCATAGTTTTTCTAAAAGTTTTTAATGTCTTAAAGATTTTAAAGTATTTTTATTTAAATATTTTCTTAAGAATCACAAGTCATTTTCAGAATTTCCATTAGCTATTTACTGTTTTATACCTTTAATCCTAAAGGTATGTGCAAAATAAAGATGACTTTCCTTTTCGCTATACTTTCATCCTGAAAGAATAAATGTACTTAGAAGGTTGGATACATTTATTTACATTTCTCTATTTCTTTGTTTAATTGTCTGTGTGATTTTTGGATTACAATTTTAAACATCTTGGTAAAAACTGGGCGAGAGAGAGAGAGGTACACGCACATATATATATAATCTGAGGTCAGGACTAAATTGTTCTGTGCTGAGGAAAATCATTGTACCCCCATAGGATGCTTTTCATAAAAAGGTCTTGTTATCTACTGCTCACTTGAATTTCGAGGAGGACCCCATTTTGTAACTGGTTGTATGGGAGTGGACTGCTGTGATACACAACGTTTTATTTATGTCATATCTAATTGCTGAAGCTAAATTTAATTAGTTTGTTGAGAATGCACTTTGAAGATGCAAAGTGATATGTTAAGTGCAAGTGTCGTCATGTGGTTTTAATGAGACACTTGTCCCTTTAATGTTAAGCATCACCGCAGTTCTACCGAACTGAGTTTTGACGGGTTGAACCTTATTACTTAGAGACCTTGGATCTGTATTGGCCAAGAATGCTGTTGGAGGGAGTGCACTGTGAAGCTCTATTTTGTCTTTCTACTACTAAACGATAGTGTAGGTGAAATCTTCTAGTCAAAGGGAACTCTCGCTGTAGATGTCAGTGCTGCCGTGGTTTTAGAAAAAAAACACAAGGCATGGACAGATCCAGGAGCAGCAGTCAGATCTTGTTTCCAGTTTGAAACTTTACATGCTATGCTGCATATTACTTGTCTGAAGAGTGCTTTCTGTATGTTTTCACTGGCTTGTCTTAAAAAACAAACAAACCAAAGGCAGCTTCAGTAACTGTAGTTATTATTCAAAATAGCATGTAATTATTTTTTTTCCTGATTTCTTAATTTGTTTTCTAGGTACTGAGTTTGTGCTGTGAAGCTTGCAAGAAAGTAATTTTTCATGTTCCTTCTGAACTAGAGGCTGACACGTTAGTTGGCAGAGGTGAGAAACTGCGAGATGCCTATTTTAACAATGCAACATTGCACCTTTGCTGGAGATGCTGTTAACAGTGAAGGAAACTTTTTAAATGGAATGAATGGATGACTGAACAGCCAGTTAAACAGCTGGATCAGCCTTTTTGTGAAGGATACGCCCTATGTTTGTTATGGATTTGAACGCTGGCTCCGTGCATCCATTTGACTTTGGCATAAACACCTATTGTCAGCTTTTAGTATTTATTTTAAAACGAGAGTGGCAGAGTTTAATGGTTTCAAAATTTGGAGTCCAGGGCTTAGTATTTAAATAAGTGGCTTAATATTACAAAGTGCACCCATAACCCACAGACTCATATGAAGACAACAGTCATTTGGATAATGGAAAAGAAAAAAAAAAAAGACGACAAAACCCACACAAGCAAAGCACCCAGAAGCTGCTGCTCTGCGTACCAGGGATGCGACTTCTCAGCAGTGCTGGGGCATTCAGGGCATGCAAGGAGAGGAGTTGCAAAGGTGTCCTGCATGCACATTTGTTTGGGAGAGTGCTCCTGTCTGCCTGGACAGTCTGTCCTGGTTTAGGGCAGTGTTCAGGTGACTGAGAGGAACAGGGGAGACCAGAAAACACCCCACTCCTTTTTTTTCAGGCTGGTCTTCGAAAGGCAGCTTTTCAAGGTGTGGCATAGGAGCTGCTACAGGGTTCTGTGCTGCCTGAGACTGATTTTGAGGGTTCAGAGGTGCCCTGTCTGAGTCCTAGGACAACAGAGGAGTATGCTCCCAATCTGCAGTCCTAATCCACATTACTACAGAAGGAACAAATAAAGTGGATTGGTAGTTCATCACAATACAAGTCCTCAGAAAATCTCGCTTTAAAAATGAAAGTTCATTGACCTTACTGTTAAATTTTAAAATGAAAGGTTGCTACAGCTTTTTAAGTATTTAGCATGTTCACAGAGACTTTAGCATTTCTGTGTAAATAAATGATTCCTACGAAAACAAAACTTCATGGTATTACAGTGCTATGAAAGAAATTGCATAACATTGAACTTAAACTCTTTTTTTCCTAAACGTTTAACAAAACCTCTATAGCTTGAATGACATTACTTAAACATTTATTGAGAAAGTGTAATATATTTTGCATACATACAAGGACCATACAATGACAATAAAATGAGTCAGGATTTTCCTGGTTGTTGTAAGATTTTTTTTTTTTTTATATTTCTGACTTAAGCAACGTATACAAGAGGCTGTAAAGCAAAAAGATCCCACAAAGCTATGGCTAACTGAATGTCATGTTGACTCACGTAACCATCAGAAACAAAATCTCCAGTCTTATTTCTGGAAATGCAGTGCTGTAATATGCAGCAGTATGAGACACCTTTAAGTGAGGCAATGGTATTCTCTTTAATACTAAATTTTCATTGTACAGATTGACAAGGGAAAGGGGTCACTGCTGCAGTGCTATAGAAAGTCTAGGAAATGTTTAATTGAGCAGTTAAAAGAAAGACTTAAGAAGAGGAAGGAAGAAATCATGTCATATTTTAAATTATGGTTCCCATCTGTTCTTGTATTCTTGAAAGAGAAATGAAATTTAGTTTATGGAAAAATATTATCTACATATATGGGGTGAAATTCTGAATCTACTCTACCCTGGGAATTTTGCAATCAGCTTTCATAGAGCAAGGTCCCATCCACTATGGTATCACTGAAGGAGTATTGAAAAGTTTTGATTTTGAGGACATGACAACTGACACGTCTTGTACTTTGCAAGGGTCATTTGTCTAGAATTTAGGTCTCTGGCCTTCATCTTTTTCAGGGTGCCAGATTGTTCTTGCTTAGTGCTGTGGTCCTACTGCAGTTCATTATGATTATCCTGATTTTGCTTTTTTTCCAGCTGTAGTGCTGAATTACTCACAGATGAACCAAGTTTATTGAAGTGTATTAAAGTTTATTTTAGCCACATGTGATAGCAAATGCAGTAAAAAATACCTGAGAAGTACACTCAACTTACCTGGTACTTCCTATAAACTGTGTGGGATTCTATCATGTACATAATAAAAAATTGGCAATCATTTGTTCTAGAGTTAGTCTTTATCTCTCCTGTCTGTCTGCCTCATAATTTAAAGGCCTTTGTCCTCCCAAGACTGTTAAATCACATAGTACCAGTCAGTGCTTTCCTCCTGAGGGCAAAACTCCCAAGATGTAATATCTCCCTTGGGCATTTGCGTTAATTAATCATCTTCACTGATTTTGTGGGGCATGGAGCACAAGGCAAATGTAATAGCTACTGATCCAATAATGAGCATGTCTACAATGTTTCTTGCATTTAAATATGTTAGTTCATCTCCAATGCTTCAATAATTTTACCAGTGCAACAGTGTCTTGTTGAAAGATATCCATGAAACACCCATGTCCTTTAGGAAACACTTATGAACACAAGAGTGGGAATTCATGTAAACTTGGTCAAATCTGAGTGCATAAATGGGTTCTAGAATCTATATTGGTGAGGCTTAAATACTGAATAACCAAATTTTTGAAGACTCGATGTGTCAGTAAATTTTATTTTTACTTAGGGGATGTTTTCTTGTTTTGTGAGGGATGTTACTGTTTTGCTGTTTCAGTTATTGTCTGAAAATCTTTTCTTACAGTTGATTTGAAAGAATGCCTTCAGTCTGCAGAGATTATCAGTTCCAGTGATGGAAACTTCAAAATTCTAGAGGATGGTTCTGTATACACAACATCTGCTGTTTCTTTGTCTGCTGAGAAAAAGACTTTTACCATATTACTTAAAGACATTCAAGAACATGTACAAAAGAAAATACATGTTAGCTTGGTGGAAGAAGAAAAAAAGGTGAGCTTCTAATTTCAAGATACCATACTTATTTGAAATACTGTTTTACAGAGTACAGCTTCATGCTGGATAACTGTAGTTGAATTTTGGAATTCAAATAATCAGGCAAAGCACTCTGGTGTAGAGTGTATTTTTATTTAGCAGTTGTTGATTACTGTGTAGTAAGCTAGTCAGCAGACTTCCTTTCTGAAATGGGAGATGCTAGCAAGGAGCTTCATCAGGAATGTTGAGAATCTTAAAAGCCACGTCTGAGGAATCAAAGCAGATTTTATTTGTGGAAAGTATTACAATGAATGAAAAAACTCTTGGAATACTATCACAGGTGTAATCAGAAACAGACCTTGGAAAAACAAATGGTCAGTGGGAAAACTGGAGCAGAGTGAAAGAAGATGGAAACACAGGATAGCAGTTAAGCAAAAGTATACACAGTTAAGAATATATGAGTATATGCTTACCTCTCTTTATCTCTAGACCCAGACACAGAAGACCAGGCATGCTAGAGATACAGTTCTCAAGCGAACCAAAAGAAGGTGGGGCCCTATTCCATCTGTTATGATAGAGAACTCACTGGGACCTTTTCCACTACAAATTCAGCAGGTATATTTTATACAGATCCTAATTTTATGACACAGGCTAGTTTTGTATGTGACTTTTATCATAAAAGAACAAAAGTGAGCTCTCTTTCCTGCTGTTTTTCTTCTGTCTTGTTCTGTCCTGTTCATTGTGTAACTTGTGATCTTGTAGGTGAAATAACTTGTGATCATAGTTGTTGGGATGAACTGGAAATGTGCAAAGGTTGTAAAAAGGAGAGAGGCATGCTATCAGAAGAGAGCTCTTTGGCCTGGAAATCACTGAAGTGTGTAATTAAAAAAACAACAAACCAACCCCCACAAAACATTGCCTACAAAAAGATTTTGTAGACACAGAGTGGGGGAAATCTTACGTGCTTGTCTACATCCTTTCTGGAGCTCGAGGTGTTTACTTGTAGCATTGAAGACAGAGTATGGCCTATATTATTAGGAAAAGTACTTACTGTAAGAAAACAGGTAGGCGTGAAAGAGAAATGCAAGAACTAAAGTTATCATAGATCCATCTAGCCTTCACTAGATTACAGAGTGGCTGGTAGCAGATGTGTAGAGACAAGTGTAATAACAGAGTCTGTGCAGAGCAATCATTCTACTGATCTTACCTTCCTAACTTCTGGTGTTCAGTAGGTAGGGAAGGTATTTGGGGAGGAGAGTGTTTATAAATAGATAACTGCTAATGTTACCTCCTTGGTGCTTGTAATGAGATGCAGAGAGGCTATCTGAATTGGCATATCTCTGGACTATAGGTGGTCTTTCCTCCCTCCCTTCCTCCCTTCCTTCCTCCTTTTTTTTTTTTTTTCTTCTCTAGTTGCAAACCGCATTCTCAATGAGTGCACTAAAACCAAAATCCCTTGAACAGGGACAGAAATAATAAGCTGTCTGTATCTGAATGTGCCTTGTATGTTCAGTATTCTAGAGAGATTAGATTTCAAAATAATTTTTTTCTATGCACACTGTCATTTCTTTAATTGTTCGATAGTCCTAAATATTTCTGAGTTTGAATTAACTACCCCTTCTCATGTACACAAATTCTAAAGGAAGGCAGTTACGTGGCAAGCTGTTCTCCTATTCTGTGAAGTTTAAGCTGCTAAAGAAGTAGATCAAGTTTTGGTTTTGTTTTTGTTTTTTTAAAGTTCCTGCTTGTGCTAAATATGATCATGAAAAGGGGGAAAATGTATTAGAATGATGCTGCTGTTTTTCCTTGGGCTTAAAAACATGTTCGTTATAGGTCCAGTCAGACACAGCTCAGAACTACACCATTTATTATTCTGCAAGTGGACCGGGAATTGATCAAGATCCAAAGGGTTTGTTTTACATAGAAAGAGAAACTGGAAATATCTTTGCTACTCGTGCAGTAGACCGTGAACAATATCCAAGCTTTCAGGTACAGGCCTAAATTGTGTAAATATAATTAAATCTTTTTTTTGTCATGCATATATTTGAAAGCTGGGTTACAGGGGAAATGGGGAGCAGACATAGCAGAAATAGCTGGTCATCTAGATCTTGAGAGTAGTTTTGCTTTTCACTGCTTAGACTCTAATTACAGCATAAATGTAGTGAGCTATTGGATTTGCATCACTTTTGGGAAGAGTTTGAAGTTATCCCAGAGTTTTTCAGGGAGGGTTGAAAAGGTCTGCATAAAAACAAAATCATGGGAAACTCTGGCTGTGTTTTTTTTGAGCCTCTCTTTCTCAAGCTGTTCAGTTTCGGTATTTTGTTAACAAGGTAGACTGCTCTCTCTACTGGCTAAGAAGTGTAAGAAGGCAGTTAGTAGAAACAAACAGCTTCTAAATAGTTAGGTAATTCGCAGTACCTATTACTGCATTTTATTAGGTCATGTTGTAATGGGCAAATAGTTTTGCTGTCGTTCTTGATTTTGTTCTAAACAGCAATGTTTACATCTAAATTTTTGGTAAGGCTGAGATTGCCTATAGGCACCTGGAAAAAATGTGTTTAAGAGACTTGGCAAAAGTGTTTGACGGAGTTGGGGGGGGGGGGAAGTGATTCAAATACTCACAGTGCGAGGAATGGAAAGGGGAAAGACTAGAAAGCATTTAAAGGTTTTGTGTTGCTGTTATCATAAGATACCAGTCATTTCCCCTTCCATGTGGCTGAAGAGCGTGGTCTTGAGAAGAGTATGCTTGGCATGCTGTATTTCATTTTATTGACTCCTCCATTGAACCAGAAGTGTAATAATTCTTCATGTTGCTTAAGCATGAAGCGATTTACTGACTTTGTCTTACAGATCATTTGCTTTGCAACCACTCCAGATGGTTATTCACCAGAGGTACCACTTGTGCATACAATCAGGATAGAGGATGACAACGATAATGCTCCATATTTTACACAGGACCTTTTTGAGTTTTCTGTCCTTGAAAATTCCAAACCTGGTAAGAATTGTTTTAAATCAATGAACACAGTTACCACTACTCAGCTCAGTTACGTACCAGTATGACTAGGTGTAATCCTGCCTTTTAATAAATTTCCGTGGGATTTCCTAAAGAGTATTTCTTTACAGCAAAGGCTGAATTTGCAAAGAGCAGCTAAAGATTTCTTAATGATTAGAAGTTCCAAAATGCCATCTCAATCACAGTGAAAAGTATTGCATAAAAAAGAAGTTTTTAAAAGCTGAGATGATTCAGTGTTCCTAAAATGGTGTAAGAACTTCAGAACATTATTCTTTTAATTTTATCCAAAATCACCTGTTTCCATAAAATGTTTTGATTGACAGAACAGCAGTTTTTAACAGATTAGTTTCCTAAACAACTAAATCAGTGGTGTTCTAAGGTGTAAAATGTCTTTGATTAAGCTTGCAGTGTTTGTCCGAGCTGATAAATTAAGGTAGGACTTTTCCTGGGGCGGGGACGAGGGGGAGAAAGTCTTGCTTCTGCCCATACCTGTAAAAGGCAGGGATTTTCCCATTACCGACTTCATGTATCTGTGTAACAGAGGACAAAAGCAGGGAGAAAGGTGGACCCCAGAGAATAAGGAATGCAAAAGCTGTGGTTTGCCATTCCTCTCTCATCTCCTAGGCTAGGGGTACAGAGTGGGGAAAGTCTAACTTGCTTCACAAAAAGGAAGCAAAGTGTCTTCCCCTTCACCCCAAAACACCAGTTGCATTTCATTCTCTGAGCTGTTCTGCTTCTTACTGGGTGAGTTACTGATTTAGAGTGAAGTTCCAAAACCACTTGGGCTATAGGAATGAAGTACAGCAGCGCTCCCTGAGAGGCAGTGCTGCAGTTTGAACCATGTCAGAAAGCACCGAACCTCCCCCTCGTCCCCCCTGGCAACTCCTCTTCAGCTGTGTTTGGGATGCTCAATTAGAAGTCACTGTCAAAACCACTAACTGAAATCTAAACTTTTAGTGTTTCTTTTGATTATACTTTGTGACAGCTGCAATAATTACAATTTTGTCTAAGAAGGAGAAAAAGTAGCCAGAGGATTAAAATACGTAATTTTACACTGTTACTGTATTTTCACTACTGTTTACTGTGTTTTCAATATTATTTTCATTTAGAGCTAAATGACCAAATAGCTATTTTCATGTATCTAAAATAGAAATACCTGTTCAAATAATTTTTGATTATTTACAGATTTTTCTGGAACTAAAAATTGTTTTACTGTGTTCACAGGTGTACTTGTTGGAAAAATGATTGCAGAGGACAGAGATGAGCCTTTCACTCTGCATACTAAATTGAAATACCGCATTGTGTCACAAGATCCACCAGGACCCCCAGTATTTTCTTTACATGGTGACACAGGTGTCATTACTGTATCGTCACCGCAGCTGGATAGAGAGGTGATCTTTCCTGAAGCATCTTTAGCTGTCATCTAGGGCACACAGATACCTTCTTAACTCTGAATTGCTGGCACAGGAATGGCCAGATAAATAATTTCTGTTACCCTTTTTTTGTTTCCCTGTGTAAGGAGCTTCCAAAGCTTTCCAGAGACCTGTAATTGGTCCAAAGAGTTTATGCATAGATCTACCATATTCTAGCTAATCTTTGCAGGGGATGTTCTGCTGCTCTCTTATTTGACCTATGGATTGAAAATCCTATGGATTTTTATTCTCTCTCTGTTCTTGAGTCCCATGAGCCACTGTTTACTCCTAATCAAGCTCCACTTGAGGTGCTTCTTGTTTCTTTACAGGGAAGATGAACCACTGTTTCTGGAAGTAGTCAGTCATCCTCTACTCAACAGAAATATCTCCAATACCTGAAACCTAAACAGTAGTAGAACATTTCCTAAATTTAAAGTGCAAACCATTTATTCTTATCAGCTAGCTTTCAAGTAAATAAGACACAGGAGGTTTTAGTTTTTATTGTATTTGGTTTGGGTTTTTTTTGATAAAATGTCATGTGAGAGAGATTGTTTATGCTAGAAAAACTGACAGGCATGCATATTTCAAAATAATAATTCTAGCATAAGACACTGCTATGGGCACATCTTTTTTGAGGATAACAGAGTCATATTCTGGCATACTTATATTGCTTCATGGCTGAAAATCTACCTTATCAGTGTGTTGCAAAATTGTGCGCTTGCAGGTACGCTGCTCAGCTTCTTTAGCAAGAGAAAAATGCAGTGACTGTGAGCATCACTGTGCCTACTAAGGAAACAATTGCAGTAACTACCGAGGGAAGGAAAGCTTGAAAAATGAGTCTGCCACCTGTCTTTTTAAAGAAACTTATGAAGTTGAACAGGAGATTTCTTTCCTCCACTTGAGAAACCTGATGCTACTTCCAGGCATTCAGAACTGGACTTACTGTCTTGATTTACGAATGCCCTGGGTTTGTACCCAGTCCCGTGTACCGCGCCCCTGGTCCCCCTTCCCTGGGTTGTTCAGGTATTAATAAGGCTAAAAAGAGCATTCTGCTGTTGTGACTCAAGGCAGGGATTTAAGTGGGCTGCTTATCAGTGATCCCCTTGGAACTGATAAGGGCACTGACTCCTTCCCAGATTGTGCCAAATGGCAGGCATTGCCTTGTTATGTATAGCCCAAACAAAGGCTAATTGCAGCACCATTTCTGGTCATCCTCACTGAAATGAGACATGCACTGAAACACTTTACCGGCTGGAAACCTAAAGGAATACTCTGCTGCTCCAAAGGGGAGACATAGGTAGCAGATGAAAATGCATCATTTGCATCTTCCAAAACTTCAGGAATTGGAAAATAAAGCTGACGTTGTGAGAAGCTTTATTTGATATGGGATATAGCGTACACATTACTAACAGATGCTGAACTCAGTGCTGCTTAGCCACTGAAAAATATTTTACTTGTTTTCCTCTTGGAACTATAGGGAAAAAGCCCCAAAGCTAATTGCCTCATTTTATAGGGGAGCACTGAATTTAGAGCAGAGTTGGGGAATGGGAGTAAAGTACTCTAGTTCTACTCTCAAGCTCTACTCAAGTTCTACTCTTGTGTATAACTATGTGATTAAAAAAATGAGAAGCAAACTTCTTTATGTTTTTATTCATCTTTTCAGATGGTACCCAGTTACACTTTGTTAACTGAAGTGAGAGATATGGCAGGTCAGCCTTTTGGTTTGTGCAGTACAGGAACAGTTATCATTCACATCAGAGATACAAATGACAACGCACCATCCTTTAAACAGATGCAAGTGAGTATTCATAAATGAAATGTCTGTAAAAAGGTAAAAAAAAAAAAACCTATCCCCTTTCTAATTTCCTGATGGGCAGTCCCTCAAATATGAAGCTTAATGCCCTAAGACAGTTAATGCCAATATAGACATTTGATAATGCCCTGTTGGTTGTTGTGCTGTTTGATAATTAGACCTATTGGTATATTAGTTGTTTTGAGTCATTTGCCTTATGTCCTTGGGAGAAAGCTGACATGACTCATTCATTCACTTCTGCTGCAATGGATAGTCTTAGAAATCCCTTAATTTAACCATTTTGAGGGAGGGGACAGATTCACTCCTAAGCATTGTCATGACCTCATTACTATTTGACCAGCTTTTGGCCACTTCTGTGTTGCAAATGAAAATGTTCGTGTCAGTGAAGTAGGTGCAAGGATTTTCACTGAGATTTTCTATGCTTTTCCGACTTTTTCTTCTACAAAAGTATTATTTACTCGGTCACCAATAGCTATAAGTCAGCCTTAAGTCTTTGCTTATTGCAGCCATCTCAATTATTCAGGACAGAGAGTATGTCTCAATAGCCATGTATACTGCTCAAATACCACAGGAGATTTTGTAATACGAAATTTATGAAAAATAATTCATTATCCATGAGGAATACATGTACCTTATCCTTTCCACTCACTACTGTAGAACATCATCGGTAATATTAATTCAGAATCACTCTTATCTGTGCTTCTTGAGCTTGTACAGAATAACACAGCTCATAAAAAGATAAAAAAATAAGAAAAATAGGTAAAATCCTTTCATCCTTTGCCATCCAAGTAGAGATGTATTTCACCCTTCTTGGCTTTTCTTCAAATTCTTGTGGTTTGTTTATATCTATTTTTTTAATTTACTCCAATGCTTCTAATGCTCAGCTTGATCACAGGGGAACTGTGCTAATTTACCTGTCCTGGAAGGAAAATTCTAGACTTAATTATGTCAGTGATAGTTTGAGTGTATGAAGGAGTTGTGATTTCAACTGAGTGGGGGAAATATGCTAATGCATGAAAACAAAATAAATCATTACAGTGGCTTGGTAAATTGACCCCTTGCATTTAAGTAGTCTTATTTAAATATAGTGTTCTTCAGTCCTGCATCATGGAACAGTATTCTTTGATTTAAATTGATCTTTTTTTTTTTTTTTTTTTTTTTTTTTTTTGTTCCCCAAATTAAACGACG